AGCAGCAGCAGCCAGCAGCTTGCTTGTCGCCACCGCCGCCAGTTTCACCGTGGCTGGGTTGAGACAGTGGTGGTGGTGGTGGTGGTGGTGGATCTACCAAACTCCTTGTTACAGTGGGAGTGGTGGTGCTGTGCCCAGGGTATGTCAACTCCCTAGTTCGGTCCCAGGGGCACTGCACTTGTGTACATGTCAAATGAGTGTCAGTTGAGCTGTCTCGGTGTTCAATCATCACTAGAAAGTTGAGCTATAGCCCCCTCACTTCCTGCTGGTGGATCCGAGTGTGTCAAATGTTGTCTGTTCAGTGTAGCTGTAGTAGTAACGCTGAAGTGAGAAGTCAGTGTGCAATACTGAAGGAAAAAAAATGGTGTTGGTGACGCAAAAGTTGTGTGTGAGCAAGAAAGATTAAAAAAAAAAAAGTCATGTGTCCCACCATCCATCTGACTCCTTCCCAACAGGTCTGCCTAAAAAATCTCATGTCTGAAGTTGATTGTTCGGTTTGTTTATGTGAAGGAAGAAGTTTGTGGAGGTAAGTTACTTCCTGAGACTTAATTCAACTCGAATGATGAGGAGTTACTCGACATTTATTGTTATGGTAGGGAGAACTTTCCTTGCATTTAACTTTCTGTTGCCTTCGGCTAGGCGGCGCCTTCTTATCCTCGGGGTAGTCGCAATAGTTTTCGTACAGTCGTGTGATAGATATTAATAATTGGTATGTGACGGTGCAGGTGGTGGCAGTGGTTGTATAATTGGGGAAATCTTACAAGTGGGCTACCACTGCTAAGTCAAGGACCGTCAAAGTGGGTGCAGGTGAGACTGCTGCTTAACCCTTCAAGGAGGGGGGGATGGGGTTGTCTTCATGCTGGTGAAGGGCTCTTAATCGAAGGAATTGGTGGTACCCTCTTCTTCCACGGATCAAACCTGAAATTTACTGTTTCCCGGTTTCTAGGCTCTATGATCTTTATTGCTATGGTGCTTCCCCATGTACATTATTATTATTACCCATGAACATTATTATTATCCCATTAAGACTAAGTAAGCTGAACGAAGAAAAGTCAGGGTTGATACTGATAAGGGGTTCCAGATTTAGACAGTGGGGCTACTTTTCCCTTCCGTAGATCAAACGTGAGTACCTATTCCCCAGCTACTAATATGACCCCTTCGCATTTAACCATTCCTTATGGTTATAATAATAGGCTTCTCAGCCTGTGATTTTTATTTTCCTTAATGATCTTCGTTCTAATAATTCATCACCCTTATTTCTCTTTACAGTAAAAATACACCTCCTGTACTTTATTTTACGAGGCAGTATATATAATTTAAACAGGAGGATTCTTGCTTACATACTCTACAACTGCACAGGGATGCAATTGACGTTCGTTTTGACATAAGAGTGCGTTTATTACTATATTCTCGGGGAGACGCTAAATACGTAGGGGGTCACACAGCCTCTGGGAAATGGAAGGCACTCAGGTTTGACTCGAAGAAGGGGAGGGTAGCTGCAGCTCTGTTGATCATGACCCCTTCACTAGCATGAAGCCCCACTCCATTGAAGGGAGTAAAGGTGAGTAACAATGTAGTTTCGTGAAATTTAATGTTAATTTATATTCATGTTGTACATTTTTTTTAATCGAAGCAAAAAAGCAGGAAACAGAAATCTTTGTACAAGCATTGTGCCGCAAAGTAAGCTGAGATGGTTGGTCTTCCTATTGAGGCTTTCTTCTCATGTGATATGTAGTCAGCTGATTCATACTTGTCTGTCATGTTGGACGTCCAAGCTGTGCGATCTTGCGATGATAAACGTATGTGATGAATTTAGACGATCTCGGGCATGTGATAAATCATGCTCTCGGAAAACTATTCAAACTCCACGCGTAAAACTACCAACTGAAGTTAGTCATCTTTTTTGTGACCTTTGTGAAGAGATATCCAAAGAAACTTCAGCTAAGAGGGTTGGACAACTTTGTGCACCTGTTGCTTGCTGGCCTGTTGCACCAGGTTGTCAAATGTCACAGAATATCACTTCTCGACTTTACAACTCGTGATTCATAGTCTTTTCATACAATGGAAAGGATCTCAAAATTGGTATTATCAGATTAATCTGGGTTGGTTGAACATTAAATTCGTAGTGTTATACAGTGCGTGGCGGAATGGTAGGCAAATAGTTTCGATCCCAGGAAGGGTAGGGCATACTCAATTCCTTAGATCAAGAGCCCTTCGCCTGTATCAAAGAACTTCTTAAGGGGCAAGGATTTCGAAGCCTACAAAGATTTTGACGTATGTCAGTCAAACCATGGTTTAAAACATTCGACTTTTCGAGGTCATCCAAGAAGCATTGAGCCAGCCATTGTCAGTTGCCAGTGCCTTTCCCTACAGTTTCTTCCGAAGAAATAAAGGAATTGGACGAAGCTCTCAGCATATTAGGTGTTAGCCCATCATTGATCTCTGTGATATCACAATATTGCAGGGACTATGCACCAAGAGCTGTTGCTTTGAATCTTTTTAACTAAGCATTTGATAGCACTATATATGCTTCAAAATAGACAACTTAAGTTATCAGAATAGGTAATAAGAAATTGATGCTATTATTATTATTATTATTATTATTATTATTATTATTATTATTATTATATTATTGTAATTTTGCTTGAGGGTGTAATGCAGTGCTCGCTGTCACAGACGGTTGTGCTCTGTTGGTTCCCAGTTTTATCACCTTACGGAAGAATTTTCTTTTTCGTGTTTTTTTTTTTAATCCTTGTGTTACCTGTGGAATGCTAAATTAGGCTTATTATCTTGTTGTTTACTACAGGTAACAGCAAAACAAACAATAATAATCTAGCTAGCAGAAGATAAGTTACTCCACATGGGAGGTGCCTTGATGACGTTGAGAGGCTCTTGATTCAAGAAATTGGGCCTATTCTTAAGATAAGGTTTGTTCGGATTTTTAACCCGGAAAAGGGTTATCCACTCAGGATAACCCAATAAAGTCAATGGTCATTGAGGACTGTCTGTCTTATTTCCATTGGGATCCTTTAATCTTGTCCCCCTGGATGCGACCCACAACACTCAACTAACATCCAGGTACCTACTTACTACTAGGTGAACAGGAACACCAGGTGTTTCCACCCGTGCCGGGGATCGAACCACAGACACTCAGTATGTGAGTTGAGTGCTCTATCAACCAAGCCACTGACCCGATTGCTTCCCATTTTCCCCAGGTGTTTTATCACCCCTATGGGTTTTGCGTTCCCCTCTCCCTATGAATGTAACAATATTGAAGATAAATTAGGACACGACTCGCAGCAATGGATTCAAGTTGGAACAGTTTGGATTTGGAAAGTATATAAAGCAAGTACTGATTTGGCAATAGAGTTGTAGATAAGTAGAACAAATTCGCAGGTTGCGTCGTTGAGGCAAGAACTTTGGATAGTTTTATATATACATGTATATATATATATATATATATATATATATATATATATATATATATATATATATATATATATATATATATATATATATATAATATATATATATATATAATATATATATATATATATATATATATATATATATATTATATACTATATATTTATATATATTATATATATATTATATATTTATATATATTATATATATATATATATATATATATATATATATATATATATATATATATATATATATATATAATGTGTGTGTGTGTGTGTGGTTTTACGGGTGTATTGAGTGTGGGTAGGTATGAGTTTGACCTGTCTATCATGGGTCAGTAAACCTACTGCAGTGTTCCTTCATTCTTGTGTTCGTGGTTTACGGGTTTTCTGACTGATGTTGGGCTAGGGTTTGTAGTGCTCACCCTGTTGTATGTCCCATGAGGGTTTTTTAATACAGTATTCTAGTTTTTCCCTACAGGTTAGCTTACCGAAGAAACTATGGGTTTATGAATTTTCTCATACGCAATCAGACGCAAGATTGACTGTGGTGATGATCCTTCCTGTGGCTTATTTGTTGTGTGTTACATATTTTCATTAGTTATTTATATCCCTTTTATTTATTGCTAGTTTCTATTGGTGCCCTTCAACCATACCCTAATTCAAAGTCTTTCCAGAGACTGCAAATTAATTGCCTTCAGCTTATCTTCGTGAGAAAGGTTTCTGACACATGGGATCAACTTAACATTAGAACATAAGAACGAAGGAACACTGCAGCAGGCCTACTGGCCCATGCGAGGCAGGTCCAAGTCTCCTACCGGCTTAAGCCAATGCACCCAACCTAGTCAGATCAGGTCACATTGACTTAAGGGAGGAACACGGCAACCGACCTGGTAGCACAAGCTATCAGGTCCAACTCACACCCACCCACATCCACTCATGTATTTATCCAACCTATTTTTAAAGCTACACAACGTTCTGGCCTCTATAACTGTACTTGGGAGTTCGTTCCACTCATCCACAACTCTATTACCAAACCAGTACTTTACTTTCCTATATCCTTCCTGAATCTGAATTTTTCCAACTTAAAACCATTGCTGCGAGTCCTGTCTAGGCTAGATATTTTCAGCACACTATTTACATCCCCTTTATTTATTCCTGTCTTCCATTTATACACCTCAATCATATCCCCCCTAATTCTACGTCTTTCTAGAGAGTGCAGATTCAGGGCCCTTAGTCTATCCTCATAGGGAAGGTTTCTGATACATGGGATCAAGTTGGTAGGTAAGACACATAGGCAACAGTTTGGCAACTTTATTCCGAAACGTTTCGCCTACACAGTAGGCTTCTTCAGTCGAATACAGAAAGTAGGCAGGAACGGTAGAGATGTGAAGACGATGTAATCAGTCCATCACCCTTGAAGTCGTAGAATTTGAGGTTGTCAGTCCCTCAGCCTGGAGAAGTTCAGTTCCATAGTCAGGGTGATGGACTGATTACATCGTCTTCACATCTCTACTGTTCCTGCCTACTTTCTGTATTCGACTGAAGAAGCCTACTGTGTAGGCGAAACGTTTCGGGATAAAGTTGCCAAACTGTTGCCTATGTGTCTTACCTACCAACCTGTCGGTATTGTATATAGGCTCCATCCTGTCACTTCAACTCCATAGTGTTTCAGACTATGGAACAATACTCTTCTCCAGACTGAGGGACT